GCCCCAACACTGCCCTCCCACCCTCACTGCCCTCCCACCCTCACTGCCCCAACACTGCCCTCCCACCCTCACTGCCCTCCCACAGTGTAACACACCCTGTCCCCCCACACTGTCACCATCCTCCACACTGCCACCCCACACTGTCATCTTCCTCCTCACTATCACCCACTCACACCCTGCCCCCGAAACTGTCACATTCCTCCACACTGCTCCCTCACCCTGTTACCCTTTCACACACTTGCACCCCATTTTGTCAGCCCCCAACACTTTGTCACCAATACATACAGTCACCCCTCCCACACACTGCCCCTGCACACACTCTCACTGTTTCCAACACTTCCTCCCACACTCTCACCTACCCACCGTCACAATTCCACACACATACTGTAACCCACCCTTCTTCACCCAGCCTCGCTCACATTAACCTCTCCTAATCTTGTCGCTCTCACCCCTCCATCCATACCACAATTACCAGCCCTCGCTCTTCCACACTCACCCTATCAAACTCATCTTCTCTCATACTGTCACACTCACCCCCAACCCTTTCACATTAACCCTTTCACTTGTGCCCAACCATGCCACACTCACCGTCACATAATCCTGTCCGACTCACTTTCCCTCGCCTTGTCACACTTCCTCCTCCAGCCGTGTAACACATAACCCCAATCCTGTCAAACTCATCCCCCTTCACCCTATCACATTAACTTCTATCCTGTCACTCATCCTGCCAAGCCATGCCACACTCACCCTGTCACATAACCCTCCCTCATCCTGTCACTCTCACCTCCCCTCGCCCTGTCACACTTTCTCCTTCAACCGTGCCACACTCACCCCAACACTGAATACAGAGACTAGCTCTCTGTATCCAGCACCGCAAGCCTGTCATTCAATATAACAGCAGCTCATTATACACACGATCCAACCCCTATATGTTTTTTACTATGAGTATTAGTGGGGGGCCTCTTGTTTGAGTTTCGCCTAAGGCCTCATAAAGTCTAGAGCCGCCACTGGGTGGGGCATTGTGATGTAACATGGGGGGGCAGCTAATTTTTCCTTTGCCTAGGGCAGCAAAAATCCTTGCACCGGCTCTGATCCTGGGCAGGTGTACCAGTCTACTGGTGACCCACAGGAGGGGATTGCACTGCACTCTCCTCCTGCCCAGACCTGTCTTTACCGCAGTGCAAGTGCCCTCTGCCCCTAATTTACAGTGGCTCACACTCACAGCAAGCAGTGCTTGGAGCCCTTTGCAGCGATGGGAACTAAGAGGTTCTGCGGCAGGTGACCGTCCTGCAAGCATTACATTAAACAGCTGTTCCCCATGCAGCCACAGGTGGCACTGTGCTGGGAGAATGTGATTACTCTTCACTTCCTCCCAGTCTACAGCGCAGTGCATGGGAGAGGAGGAGGCATGATTTAATCTTACAACAAATCCATTAAGCAAATCTTTGGGGGGATCAGCTCTGTTTGCACAGTTTATTGGTGTTTACTCTGATGTCTGTATTAATATTGAGGGATTTCTAAGTAGTAACATCAGTATGTGTCAGCAGGGCCAGCCGTTGGGGTGTGCAAGCTTGCGGTCACGCAGGGTGCCATGACAACAGAGGCGCCCGGCGTCCAACACAGCTCACAAGTTGGGGACCCCAGCATATTTAATTTAAATGATTCGCTGGTGGTCCACTGGTGCGCACCAGCAGTAGGTGCAGTCAGATTATATCCTCTCCCTCATGGTTCTGGCGCTCAGTTAGTGAGTCAGAGCACAGGCTCAGAGATTCTCAGCCTGCGCTCTGACAACATTGAAAGTCAGAGCCGTGAAGGAGCGGGCATGGCAAAGAGCTACTGATTAGCATAACATCAATATCCGTTATAAAACCAGGTGGGCATGGATGGTGAACTGATTTGGTGGTGCAATGGGCCACTTGTCTGGTTTTGCCCCCCAGGCCTAAGGCTGCCAGCCCTCCCCTGGTCAAACCAATTATTTGTTCTTCTGTCAGGATCATGAAAAGAGAAAGTAGCTTTAGCATCAACCTTGTGACACTGAATTTCAAATTTAATCTCTAAAGTTCATCACCAAAAAAACTTAACTCCTCACAATAAGATAAAGGCACATTCTACCAAATTCCAAGGCTACCTTCAGATGGCGTATGCAAGAAAGCCACTTGGTCTTCACCAATGAATTTCAGTAAACATTACAAGTCCTTCTCCTCTTGTACCTGTAGCTTGAGTATTACCCATATGTGATGTTGCCATGATTAGTCCAGAATAAGGAAAATTTAAACCATACTTACCATCATTTTGTTTGCTGGTTAAGAAAGTTGCAATAATAACGTACATATTATTATTACCAATACTGTGAAAAGAAATTTTTTTTTGCTCTTTTTTATATATACAACAAATGAGAATGTATACATGTCTTTTTAAAATGGTATCTTGGCTCAGTTGAGGAGAAAGATGAAAATTGTGTTGAACCCCTTAGGACACAGCTTCAGAAGCTTTGTTATAGGCAAATGTAAATATTACAAGTTTTAGAATGAAATGTTGTATTTCTTAAACTGTGTACATTGTCTTTAAGAGATATTGCACATTGACAAGGTGTTAGAAATGGAACATATTGTTTTTCATAGATGTTTCTTTAAGCAATAACCTCAGTGCATAATATGTGTGCGCCATTTTGTTCCAGACGAATTACAATAACAATAATGCATAAACAAGCTTCAAGGCTATGCTACGACTCTTGCAGTACACAATATACTGTGGTAACCCCAAGTTTATGGAACTTCCCCAAATACGGGAATCTCCCACGAATGTGCACTTACGACTTAGTATAAACAACAGATAAGCTATTCAGATTTTAAGATGCCATCTTGAACTAAGTCAGGAAAATTTCCATGACATATGCACCCTTTAGTTATGACCTTGTATGTTTGCCAAATTAAGGGAGGTCCTAAAATGAATAAAGTAAAAGAAGTGTTACTTTTTCATATTTGAACTACGGTAACCCTAAAATGGAGACACCTAAGGTATAAATAGGTGTACTTTTAACTGTTAAGACACAGAGGAGAGACTTGGAGACAGACGCTGCTCCATCTTAAAATGACAGAGAGGCTATGATGACATGTTCAGAAGGGTATGTTAACCTATTAATGATATTTGCAAGCATTTAGTTTAATCTTATAAACTCTGCTATAATGGATTTTATATTTATATTTTTATATAATAAATATCCAAAAAGACAAAACTATTGCTTCCAAGACAATCCTTATTTTATATTGTATTCTCAATTATTTATATATGTTAAATAGAGGATCTCTTACTAACTGTATAAAATTATGGCTAATATATCTGTATGGTTAGCCCTACTAAGTTCTATGTTTTAAGACATTATAGTGCCAAATAAGGGAACCACCTGCAGTTACAGCTGGTCTTACCCTTAAGGACACAAGCATTTCTTGCTGTTTGTGTTCAACCGCAATTTGCATCTCACTCATTTATTGCACCAACACATATTATATACCTTTTTTTTAGAGGACAAAAATGGCTTTAATTTGATGTCACATATACGTATATAAATTCTCATTAGTTATAAAAAAAAAAGCCTAGAAATTGGGAAAACAACAAAAATATATATTTCCTGGCTAATCATGGCAGCATCACTTATGGGTAGCTCCTCCCTTAGCAGTCACAGGACAGGAATTAATTAGATTAATTAATCAGACTGATAGGTATAAGGAGTCCCTCCTCCCCCTACACCTCAGTCTTTTTTCCTGTCCTTAGCAAGTTCTACAGGACTTTTTTACATTTTATTTTATGGCCACCTTCCTGCGTTTGTCGTGGGTTCGTTCCAAATGAAGTTCAGCCTCTCTTCATTTGAAGGGTCCAGTAAACAGCCTGCATGAACAGGACTAACTGGATCAGGTTCAGTGTAAGTACTGAACTGCAGCGTGGGAAGTAAGTGTTTGAGGGAAACACTGTTATGTTTGTTTGTGGGGTTGGTTTAGCCTTAAAAATTCCCCTCTTTTTAACCTGCCCCTACTAATTGGGGCCATTTATCCCCCCCCATGCTTGGATGGCAGACTTTGAATCCATACGTAGGCTTGTGTGGTTTGGTACCTTTATGTGGTCCTCGTATGTCACCCTCAAAGTCGTTGCTGCTGTGTATCAGATCGGAGTTATCCGCAATGAGAGTGCCGTCACAGTACATGGGCTGCGCGCTCGGGACATCCACGTCCCTTCGAAGACCACATCTGACACCTTTATTGAGTCCTCTTTTCAGCGCACAACAGGAATTCAGCAGGTTTAAAAACCCTCCAATAGACACTTCTCCATTCTTCACAGAGTCTTCATTTTTTCCAGTTGCTACTAAGGCTACAATCCATCTGGATATCCAACTTGGTGAGATCCACCTATTTATTATCTAAAGTGCACTATTCTCTGGACTATTGTACATCAGGACATTTATTATCTGTAGACTTTCTATTTATTTTTTTCCTTTTTTTATATATTTTTTCAAATTTTTCTTCATTTTTTTCATTTTTTTCATATTTCTTTCATTTTTCATTTTTTATTCATTTTTTCTTTTTTCTTTTTTCTATGTACATAGAACACCACAGATTCAAATATTATCCATATGGATAGGTTTTCCTTAGATTTGCAAACAGGAATACTTACAACTGTGTTTATATATCGATTATTTATCTATATAACACCTATGGAGGTTATTTTTGTAAATAGCGATTGACTATATGATGTAATATATTCTTTTGATCAAATCATAATCTCACATATTAAGTTATATACCTAGACATTGAAGAATTGAAAATAATAAATTCAATTACAGTACCTCTTTACCTACGGTTGATTATTTTACAACATTGAGTGCGGTATTCATATATATATATTTTTTGTATGATATTTATGGGGCTTTTTTAGGGATAACCTCGAATACCAGCACCACCTATGTGATTGAGTGCCAGCATAAATTATCTTTTAGTATATATTTCTTCCATCATTTTACCCCAACCCCTCTTCTCAGGAGGAGGTTAGATGGCAACGTTTGGATGTCATGAACTGCTTGTCTGCATATCTTAAACGTTCTGAGTCTTTCCGTAAAACGGACCAACTCTTCGTTTTGCCGTTGGGAGCAAGGAGAGGTGAGGCGGCTTCTTTATCTACGTTGGATTTCTCTGATAATTAAGAAGGCGTATATCTCTAACGGTATATCACACCCACGGGAGATAAGAACTCATTCTACTAGAGCATTATCAACTTTATGGGCTAGCTGGGCAGAGGTTCCATACGATGATATTTGCAGAGCAGCCACCTGGTCTTCTCCGATGACATTCATGAAGCACTACAAACTAGATGTGGATTCTCCTTCCACCTCCTTTGGGAAGAGTGTCCTGTCTACGGTTTCTTTATCCCGTTGATATTAAACTTTTCTTTGCTGCATGTGATTCAGTTTGGTGTAATTTATTGGATTATTATTCCCACCCTACATTTCTGTGAAGCTTGGGTATTACCCATAAGTGATGCTGCCATGATTAGCCAGGAATAGAGAAAATTTATGACAAACTTACCGTAATTTTCTTTTCCTGGCTATTTCTCATGGCAGCATCAGGGTTCCCGCCCATTCTTTATTTCAGCTTTATAATTGGACTGAGGTGTAGGGGGAGGAGGGACTCCTTATACCTATCAGTCTGATTAATTAATCTAATTAATTCCTGTCCTGTGACTGCTAAGGGAGGAGCTACCCATAAGTGATGCTGCCATGAGAAATAGCCAGGAAAAGAAAATTACGGTAAGTTTGTCATAAATTTTCTCTAATATTTTTCACAGTTTAGGCAATAATAATGTGTGCATAATATGTCCAGCTTAGGAAAAGTAATTCAAAATAAATTCATTTATGTGTCTTGATTTATAGAGTACATAATATCTATAGGATTTCAGCCTATTTCGAAAGTTACAGGTCACAAAATACAAGGACTAAAATACATTTTTTAATGTGAAACTATTTTAGAAGTTGATATGTTTGTCTTGTAAGTTTAGTAGCCATCACAAAAAACAAAATTGCCACACAAAAGTATATATTTATATAAAGTAGACATTACAGGTTATTTTGACACTTTTTACATAGCCATTTCATCGCTAATCTCTGCTAAATATTGGAGTAAAATTGTGTTTTTTCTCTATTTTGGCATATACACATATCACAATGTTTTTTATTGTGTATTTCGCAAAGCTGGTGTGTGCTATTCCTGTACAGAACCCCATATTGTGTTCAGCTATATCTGCTGAGTACAACGATACCTCCATTGTAGGCCTTTGGCACTATTCTGTGAAGCTACAATGCCATAAAAGAGACAAGGCTATTTCAGTTTCTATAGTTAGAATTTTCATAGATTGATTTGACGGGCCTATGTCTCTTTTTGTGGCATTATAGCGGTTTAAATGTTATAATAAACCCACAAAGGGCTTCCATTTGAGAAAGCAGACACCCCAGGGTATCTTATATGGTGTTTATTGTGCCTTAACTTGTCACCATTTTTTCACCAATTAATGTCAATGTTTGTGGTGAGGGAAAAAATTGCATTTTTTACCTACATGCATTTTTGCTGAGTATTTATTACACTTGACATGTTCACTGTCATAAAATCCGCAAAATTATGCTCAGTTACATCTTCTGAGTAGAACAATATGCCCAATGTAGACACTATTTTGTGACGTTACAGTGCTGTAAAAGAGACGTGAAAAGTTCAGATTTTTAAATGTGAATTTTCATAGATGGTTTTGAAGGCTCCATGTTCCATTCTGGAGCACTTCAGCAAGTGACATATTCCAACTACACCATAAAGGCATACCATTTCTTAAACAAGACATCCCAGGGTATTTCAAAAGGCATATTTTGAACCTTTTCGTGGGACCATTTTTCTGCTAGCATGTACCAAGTGTAGTATTAATAAGCATTATTTCTGCCTTTTTGACACACAAAGTGAGTTTGCACAGTATATTTTGCAAATCTTATTTGTGCAATGGCTGTATAATATTTCATATGTTGCTCAGCTATGTCGTCTGAGTACAACAATACCCCCGTACCTTTGCCAGGTATTTGTGGATGCTGAAAGGGCACATTTGAGGCGCAGCCATTCAGATTTTTTTTCTAACGTTGAAGTTTTACGCTGTGTCCATGTTTCATTTCAGAGTAGTTTAGCTGGTTGGTTATTCAAACTTCCCCACAAACACATATTATTTATTAAAGAATACACCCCGGGGTAATTCAAAAGGCACATTTTGAACCTTAGTGTGGGATAATTCTTTTGCTGGTTTGTGCCAGGTGTAGTGGTCATGAGCATTTTTTAAGGTATTTTTGTCACTTTTCAAAACTTTGCTTACTTTTTAAAACTTGTTTTTAAACTTTTTTGTTTACTTATTACCTTTTTTTTTTATTGTTAGCCCCTAACTAGCAGTAAGCAGCACTAACAGTAAATTCCCCAATTTCCCATAGCTCCCACCCCAGCTATAGCAAAATATATCTTTTCAAAATATTTAAATTAATTAATGAAAAAATTGAACCTCTGTGGGTTAAAAAAAATAATAAAAGTTAACCCTCAGGGGTTAAAAAAAAATCAGATCAAAATACAGGTCACAGTATTATACTGTGATCACCGTAAGCAGTGATCAACTGGCAGGGGAGGGGTTAATTTTTATTAGGACTGGGTGAAGGGGAATCACTACAGGCCTTCACAACCTGCTCCGAGCCAACGGCATCTTATATATTGGTGCAGATTACAACACGTTTTAGAGGTACAACATGGCACCGCAACACACCCTATCCGGAACTTACAGGAAGCGAGAGACCTGTTGCCAGCCTTGGGACTGCCTAAGGACGCTCTGAAATCAGCTAAACCGCTCACCATGGTCCCGGCAACCCACACATGGAATCCCGACATAGTACTCCCTTTTGTACCTCGGGAGACACGGCCAGATGCCTAAGTGGCGGTAACCACTTGATTGGCCATGGACACCCGGCAGAGACCTGCTGATACCAACCCACTAGGACTGTTGATCACTCCAACAGCTAATGTTTAAATGCTCTAATTATCCTTTTATATGTTACTTTATGTTTTACACTCGGTTTTGTTTTTCTCTATTTCCACCTCTCTACTCTATTGTTATTTTAAATTCTATGCAAGGTCTCTCTCACCGGAAAGGCCTAGAAATAACACTCACGTAGACAGGAAAAAGGAACGAGGGACTAAGACCAATGACCACACCCCCTTTTCCCATGTACCTACAGGTAGACTCACGGTTTCCCATACATCGACACTGGACACATAACTCTGGCACAACGCTCTGTTCCAGGTCGGGCCTGGAGGTGCCGCGCTCCCCTTGGGAGCCTGGGGGGCACAATAGGGATGAGACATCACCCCCTAGAGGCCAACCACACTTTATACTGACCAGCACCGTTTAACCCCCCACAGCTGCGGGCCCTGACGAGGACCTCTGGAGTATCCCTACTTTCATACGCAAAGCACATACTCTTACCCACAGGCTACCTCCATAGACTCACAGCACACACCCAGAGCCCCAACTAAACATAGACTGAACAATGACATCTCCCCCGCCCCCCCACCCAGAGGTGTACTCCACCACACGCACAACGACCGCTAGTCTGTTTAAACCCCCACTGGACGTAAGCCAATTGTGACCCATGAGTGCACCACAATTACTTAAACTGTGCTGTCAAGCTACAGGTCATATTGATTTATCCATACAACCGCAATGAGAGATCTACCAATGACACTGTTTGCCAATGCTTCTTCTCTCCGCACAAAAACATAAAGAGTTTATAATACCAGTTAACACCAAGTTGAAGACTAGGTAGAAAGTCAGTCTGACAGATGTTAACATAGCCTTCACTTTTCTGTAAAAATAAAAATTGTGCAACCCGCTCAATGCCTAATACGATCCACTGATGTTACCTAAATGCGTCCTGTTTTGGCACATTGTCAATGCTTGTTATTTTTATGCACAAGTAAAATAAAGAATTTAAAAAAAACAAAAATCAGATCATAGTAAAACACCCTTATCTGTATTTTGATCACTGTAGACAGTGATGAAATGGTAGCGAAGTTAATTTTATTAAAGCAGGGGAAAGGTGGTGGGATTTAACTTTTGTTTGTTTTTTTGCAAGGAGAAGATCCGTACTGATCTCTTTTCTTGCACTTCACACAGAACACGGAAGCGTAGAGAGGTGGACCAGGACTCCCTGCAGCACATGTGCTCGCTCTGACAGCTGGGGTAAATTTTGGCGCATGATGGACCGGGTCCGTCATTTGTTGTCAAGTGCTTCCCCAGCATGACGGACCGGGTCTGTCATCCGTCATGAAGGGGTTAAACACAAAGCAAACTGAAGGAATAGCTACCTAGCATTTTGCGTACTAGGCCTTTGCTAGAAAAACAAACTGAGAACATTTGCTTACTTCTAAACTGTTTTTCTTCATATACGTTTCACTTTAATGTTCCCTGACTTCTTAACATGTGGAGTGGCAGATAAATATTCTTTAAACCCATGAAGGAACAACTGCAAAAGGTTCCAAGGTGACAGTAGAAACATTTGCAGGAACCCATTATTTTCCCATAAAGAACATCCTAACTCTTACACCAATACTAGAGACAGTGTACTGATCAGAGCACTATGTGGTGGCATCAATGTGTATATTGAAAGATTCAAGTAATGTAGAAGTCTTTGTGGTTGGTCCCAGCAGTGGCGTACACAAGTTCCATGGGGCCCCGGTGCAAAAATTGATCCGTGGGGCCCCCTCCCCGCGCACCTACTCTGCGCGGGCCAGTGCCGCTACACATGGCGGCATGCACCTGGTCACAGGGCTGCGACCTCTGCAACCACGGTGTGCCGCCAGTGCATGCAGATACACTTAACCCCTTAAGGACACATGACATGTGTGACATGTCATGATTTACTTTAATTCCAGAAGTTTGGTCCTTAAGGGGTTAAAGGACCACTATAGGCACTCAGATCACTTCAGCTCAATGAAGTGGTCTGGGTGCCAGGTCCCTCTAGTTTTAATCCTGCAGCTGAAAACATAGCAGTTTCATAGAAACTGCTATGTTTCACTGAGGGTTAATCCAGCATATAGTAGAGGTTTGGAACAAAGAAAAGTATATATATACTCAAATATCACCACTTAGTGGATAGTACATATAAGTGAAGAAATATACTTATCTTAATATTCAAGTGAAACAGCCTCCCAGGTCATTACCCAGAATGAATGACCTTTACACAGCAAAATATAAACCAACCAGAAATATTTGGGATACGGCTGAGAAATCTTGAATTATCCTGATCAGCAACTTGTACGTCAGCACATTTGCCCCTTTTCTCTTAACGATATAAAGACCCACCGAGTGCGGACATTAACCGGGTCTGTACCTGGAGCCAGCTGAGGTACCCTGTATGCGGTGGGTCTTTATATCGTTAAGAGAAAAGGGGCAAATGTGCTGACGTACAAGTTGCTGATCAGGATAATTCAAGATTTCTCAGCCGTATCCCAAATATTTCTGGTTGGTTTATAGTAGAGGTTTGCCTTGATGGTGCAGATGGGCTTGCTTTTAATGGCATTAGAGAAGTACCAGAAACCTCCTGCTAGTTAAATGTGCATTGGCATTTTGGATAATGTGCCAGAAACTTTTTTTTGTTCTCTGCATTTGGGCTGATGGATACGATAGCCATTGCAGCTGTCAGGAGTAGCGGGAGTTGTTATGTCCCAAAGTGGGGGCTGGTTCTTAAATAGTAAATGTAATGCTGCAAGTGTTTACTCAATAAATTATACACATAGGAATGAGGTCTCAAATCCCGAGGCAGTGTACTGTATACAGGATGAGTCAGTGGCGGATCCAGAAGCTAATCTCAGTAGGGGCACTGGCAGATCATTTTAACCCCTTAAGGATACATGACGTGTGACATGTCATGATTCCCTTTTATTCCAGAAGTTTGATCCTTACGAGGTTAAGAAACAATCCAGGCACAATAACCACTACAGCTCTCTGTAGTGATTTTGATGCCAGGAGTTGCTGTGGCGCCCTCCCAGAGTAAGTAGTCAATCAGTTTAAAAAAAGTTTGATAACTTACCCACGGTCTGCCGGGATAGGGGCTGTAGTGTGTATGTGTGTGAGGGGTGCAGTGTGTGTGAGGGTCGCAGTATGTGTATGGAGGGATAGTGCGTGTGTGAGAGGAGTGCAGTGTATGTATGGGGTAGCAAGTTGTATATTGGGAGCAGTGTGTTTGTGTGTAAAGGATGTAGTGTGTGTATTGGGAGCAGTGTGTTTGTGTGTGAGTGGCGCAGTGTGTTTTTGTGTGAGGGGTTCTGTGTGTATTAGGGGTAGGTGTTTAAGGGGGGCAGTGTGTGTAAGGGAGGGGCTGTGTATATAAGGGGAGGGATGTATATCTGTGTGTGGTACAGTGTGTAAGGGGTTATAATTTGTGTGAGGGGATGGGGGGCAGATTAAAGATAATTTCTTTTTTTAATTATTAAATAATAACTAAATAAATATATTTAATGTCCCCACCTCCCCCCTTTCTTACCTTTGCTGAGGGAGAGGGAGATATTGAGCCTAAAGCTCAGGCTAGAGTTCACTCTCGCGAGAACAAAGCATTGCCATGGTAACCATTGTAAAAGAGCTCCCCAGGGTTATCTCTCCCTCACTGATATCCCCTCTGGTCCATGAAGGCAAGCAGCAGGGCTGGTGCATGGGCCGGCAGGGGAGAGCCTCTGCCTCATTATTTTCTAATTATGTCTATCTTCTGTCCGTACTCCCACCTCTGATGCTCGCCTTTAAGACTTCTCCAGGGCTGCACCGTTCCCTTGGAACTCACTTCCCTCCTCCGTTAGACGCTCACCCAGTCTCCACTCCTTCAAAAAATCATTAAAAACCCACTTCTTCATAAAAGCGTATCAATTAAACTCCCGACTGATTCCTCTCTTGCAACTGTCACTGGTCTAATACTATCCATTTGTGTCACTTTACCCCACTCCCTCTAGCATGTAAGCTCATTGAGCAGGGCCCTCAACCCCTCAGTTCCTGTGTGTCCAACTTGTCTGGTTACAACTACATGTTTGTTCGTCCACCCACTGTAAAGCGCTGCGGAATTTGTTGGCGCAGTAGTAGTGTCTAGCTAGATATTTCTGAACATTGATATAAAAAAAAAAGTATTTTTAGAGAAGATACATCGGGACAAAGGCAGGTGGGTCAGAACAGAATCTACAATACGTACTTACATATATAAATGAAATATATTTACAAATTGGCCCTCTCATTTTGGAAGTATTGTTGTAGCTTTAAGGATGATTCAATGTTTTTGTTTCGTACAGAGAGTATAAATCATCCCAAGTGGAGTTATGTTACATTTATACAATAAAAAAAAATAAAAAAAACCTCCACCAAAACTAATTTCATACAAAACTTATATGTTTTCATACAAACATACTACTGTACACACTATGTAACTATGTATGTATGTGTTTAGACACAGACAAAATATTAAAAGAATCAGTAAAAAGAGTAAATATGGGTTACAATAGGTGACAGAGTGGTGGTCAACAATAACATTTTTTAAAAAGAGTTCTAGTGTAAACTTGCCAGAGAGACAACCAACAGTCTGTTAGAAGGAATTTTCTTTGAAGGAGCGGGATCAAAAATTAGTTCTTGGAAACAAAGAAAAGATAATGGTACATTAAATCCCAATAAAAGACAATATTCATAAACAAAGGGTCTAATGTAATCCTATTCACGTGTAATAGAACCTAAGATGACAGGAGTATAAATAGCAAAATGGTTACTTGCATTTAATTGATCAGACATAAGAGGTATAATCCCCACCTTGGATTTCTTTGGAGTAATACTCAAATGGAACAATACAATTCAGATGCCAGGCAGTAGTAGTAATAAAATAAGTAAAATAATAGCAAAAAAAAATATGCAATAATAGATTAAAATGGCACAATCACTTAATAAAAGTTTCTAAAATACCTTTATTGAAACACAATATTAAAATATCCACAACGTGTTTCAGTTTTTGGGCTTTGTCAAGTGTAGATAAAAAAGACTAACCTGGCAGTATGGGATATATATAGGAAATGCACAAATGTAAAGGCTTGGCCTGCAGTTGTGGGGGGGGGGGGCATGTTACCCTACTTAAACCCCCTACTCACCTTCCTCCGTCCTGTACGTGTTTTAGCGATTCACATGTCGCTATTCATCTCTTCCTTGCCAGGTTCCTCGTGGTTCTCTTCACCTGGCCTACGGTTCCCCCGCTGTTTTGTTCGTCCGCGATCCTTTCTGGGGTCTGCTCCGGTCGCCCGTTGTCCAGACAACTCTTCTGATGCTGTGAGTTACTTACCCTACCGTTGCGCTACGGTCGCAGTCCCACGGCGTCGTAACGGTCTGGGTCTATTCTCCTTTTTCGTGTGTTTTTCGTTTCCTCGTGTCGTTTTTGTTGCAAACTCCCGAACGCTTTGGACTATCCGTTCGGGAGTTTTTTTCCTTCCTCATGTTCATGTTGCTCGCTTGGTTCATGTTCGGGTTCGTGACTGTCAGGCGATTCGCCTGTTTTTTTCCCGCGAACCTCCCACAGTTTTCAGGTACTGATTTCCCTGTTTACTTTTGGTCCGTTTTGAAGGCGGTCGATCTGGCGTCCCTAGACGAGTCACGTGCAGGCAGACGCTCCGTGTGCAGCATTTATCTCATAGTGCTACAAACTACTGCTGTGCTCTTCTTCCACGCCTAATGCTCACTGCCGGTATGTACTCGCCACCAGCTGCCCAGGTGGCATCTGACATGGCCTTACTTAGTTTCTTGGCATTCAATTAATGTTAAGTAGTGGCTCCTAATCCCGGAGGACTTGTTTTGGGAAGCATTACAGAGGTAAGCTTCGCTAATTGACTCAGTACTGAAACCAAGTTATTTTCCAACTGTTATAACAATTTCTCACTTCAGATGTTATTTTTTTCTCTCTCATTTTTATTTTCTGAGTTTCTTTTTACAGTGTCCAAGTGTTAACCGGTCACAACTGTATAACTAATCATAACAATGGCTTGCATGTTAAAAACTTGTAATAATGATCTTTTCTTCTTTTATTTCCTTTTTAAAATTTCTTACAAATAAATTCTTCCAAAAAATCAATTCAGGGAGTTGAATTTTAACACCACAAAAAATGTCAAATAACACTGTGTGCAAAACGAGCGCGTTTCTAAGAGATTCACTTTTATAAATGTCTGAGGGTTATGGGACTCGTCGTTGATCTGTTATGGCGCCACATGTTGGTCACTGCTCTTAGTGCATGCTGATATATTGGCAAATTATAATGCGAGACTGCCTGCCATAGTCCTTCATAGTTTCCAAGTATGTCTGTTATATTCGAGGTTGTATGACCTTTGTTTCTCATTACACAATTTCTGTTGTCATGATGTCATTAAATTTTTTTTATAAATATATGAAACCATATATAAAAACAAAAACAAACAAACAAAAAAAACTAATGCAGGGGTAGGGGGGCAAATGCACATCAGTCTTTAGCTATCTTCGCTCTGATTTTGCGATCAACCCAGTATGGTGGGATTACAAATTACGTTTCCCTGCTTGGCTGGGCCTCGTCTGCCCGCAATACTCGCGCTATGTTATTTTCCAGACGGAACGCTATGTTTTGTTACCGGACACACGATCTGGCGTTTATGAGCCCCGTGGGCTATATACACACACGTGTGCGCATTCTATTTTCTGTTTATTTATTTTCTCTCCATGCGTACTCCTTACAGCCTGATCACATGGACTCGGACAGGCTCACTCTGCCCTCCAGTTACGGTCGACCTTACGATTTTCTCGTACCCTCCCTCATTTTCATCACATTGTACGTCCCCTCTCTCACTCGTTACCCTCCCCTCTTAGTTAGCTGTTGCTGGCTGTCAGGGTTCTAGGTGTCCTCTAGTTGTAATTCCCCCCTGGCTTCTTCGCCTTAGGTTAGTGGTGCAGTGAGGCCAACACCCATCCTCATACTCTGAGGTACTACACCCCTCATAGTTAGTCACCTCGCATTGTGGCATAGAGAGGGCCTCACCGGTCACTCCCATTCTATCTTATGGTTAACTGTCACCAAGAGGCCAACACCCCGCCACAACGTTCAGTGGCCACGTTATCCCCTCGCGCCAACGCATAGATAGTGCCTCTCACGTCGCTTGGCATCTAGCAGGGCCTCACCTGTCACCAAACCTAGTTTTTATTGTTTCGCCTGTTGGCTTTAGCTAGTATGCCAGCACTCACACGCGTGCACACTGGGCCGTTAAAGCGCTGTTTATTTGTCTCTTTTTCTAGCAGGTCTCCGCTGCTAGGCAATTGGCATGGTGTTTTCCACCCGGGTTCTCTGGATAGGTCTGGTACTCATCCCACTGTGGAGTTTCGGCTACTCCTACCTTCTTTTCAGGTCCTGGGCTCTTCCTCGCTTCGCTACAGTTCACGCAACTCAACTTATTCCCCCCCCGGCAGCTTTTTGGACAGCTGAACTCAGTGTCTGCCCGCCTCCACGGGTAATGCTGTTGCTGAAGGGGCCCCCAAGTTCGCTCTTACTTCTCCGTTGTTCGCCCCCCTGGTTGTCTTTGCTGCTGTTGTCTATGGGGCAGTGTCGGATGGCAGTTTAGGGTAACTGGCATCTGCCGCTTTGGCTGCATTCGAACCAGATTTCCTGCAGCCGCTGCCGTTCAATGCGTTTCAGGGTCTGCTCATGGACTACAAGCCTTGTTGGCTCCTGGTCGTCATCTTTCACATCTGGCTCTTTTTCTACCACTCGCGGTACATGTGTTAGGGCCTTCTCCTTCGAGGCTCCTTTTCACGTATACTGTCTGTTGCTATGTTGTCTTGATTGGTTTTTGTTTCTTTTTGCCACCTCTAACTTGCATCAACTCTACCAATCCGGTTTACAACTTCACATGTTGTACAGGTTTACCATTCATTTCGCAGTTTCATGTCCTCATACCAGATTATTACCATACTCAAGGCGTTTCAGGTTCCTGGGAAATTTCAAGTCTACAGATTTCCCATCACCATCCAAGTATTTCAATCACTATCAGACCTATTTAATGCCTGTCATTACAAACCGGGCTTCAATCCTTCAATGTAGGGCAATAACTGCTTGATTGAAGGATAAATCTAAACACATATGTGAGGAAGGCTGAACTTGGTGGACACTAATCTCTTTTTAGCTATGTAAATATGTAATCTAGTTGTTGAGCCGCTATACCTGCCTTCACAGTTTCTTTGGGTCCCACATATTTCCCGCAGCCACCACATCCATCTTGCAGCATTGTCTCAGGAAGTCTCACCTATTCATGCAGTCTATTATTTACCTTCTCTACCCCAGATGGCCAACGCGTGTTTAATATACCTTTCTTCCCCTTGCACAATTAAGAGTGCCGGGCATCTATTAACTCACTCGGCATTCACCATACATTTAGGTTTTTTTTTTTACATTTCTGGCAGGTATCTCTTTTTGCCCTCTTTTATTACAGGCCTACCTCAATGTCAGTTCCGGCACACCTGAACCGACTTATTTCCCCCTTTACTTTCTATACGGCCTTTTTGCCCCTCACACAAATGTAAAGGCTTGGCCTGCAGTTGTGGGAGGGGCATATTACCCTACTTAAACCCTCTACTCATTCAGAGGGTCCGCAATTACTACAGGCCCTTGGCCTTCCGATGCCAGATCTGGCGACACCTTCTCGAAGAGTCTTGATGTCGACAGCATCACTCCTTTTATTCCCAAAGGGGAACGAGACTCAATAACAGGAATATGAACGTTAATCACATAAGGTTGCTCGTTTAATGATATTGATTATGTTTATATAGCGCCAACAAGATTCCATAGCGCTGTACAATGGGCGGACCAAGTTATTTTACTATTGCACCTGATTGCTCCATAGGGAATTTTGTTCTATGCACTGAATAACTCATTACGGTTTTATTATAAATGCTCCAGAAGCTATATATATAGTTTGAACGACAGAGGGCCACTCACATATTTAGCCAACGCCTACCCAAAAACAAAACAAAACCAAAAAAAAACAAAACACAGAACTGATTTAGAAACTTAAATCCCCCCCAAGGGACAGGGGAACAATTTATGAGTCCAAGACATGGCTTCAGGTGCGCTTAATTATAGGATAATCTCCTAATTCTGTTACTTTTGCTAGCCAAGTTCCCTTGATACTCTGCGCCGTGTCTAATTTGCATATACAATCTGAGGGCATCAGAGGTATTATTTCCCTGTAACTATATTTGATATGCTCCTCTGTTTATACTCTCCCTAGCTACCCCAGCACATTCAAAAAAAAATAAAAAGTTGCCTTCAAAACGGCAAAGTGTATGTTAGATTAATAGTGTTTACACAGCTGATAGATTAAGGCTGGGAAAAGTGTAGCTCCACAGATTGAAGAATGTCAACTGCCATGATGATTTGCAGGCCTTTACCAATGCCAAATCATGAAAGTGGCAGTTCTATAACAACTAGGGATCTGTTCATCCCGCCCTGTCATGGATGATACCCAAAACATTAGTAAGAAATTAATTTAATAAAAATAAATGTGTGCGCGTGTGTTGTAAAAAAATAAAACATGTTCTACACACAAGATAAGGTAAAAATCTTTAATGCATCCCCTCCCCCCAAAAAACAAAAACATATCAGGCCCCATTAGACATTCACCCACAGGGCTATCAGGTGCCTGTTCTTAGTTACTCAATGCTGCAATATTTTTTAAAAAAAGAAATGCAGTCATGTTCTGTACCACCCTTAAAACAGGACAAGCAACAGAAGGGGAAAAATAAAAAAAATATTGTCAACTCCATGTGATTCAATGGCTCAAAGTACACAGAGAAAACCCATTAATCAGCAACCTCTTTTGATTTCTTCTTTTTCTTCTTCTTTTTCACACTTTCGGTAGTCTAAAATAAAAATATAAAAAGGGGGTAGAAAAAAAACATTTTAAAGTCAATCTGGTTTAACAAAGTTACATTAAAGATCACTTCCCAGGATTTTAAAATTGTAAATTAAAAAAAGTCATGAATGAGTCCATCAAGTTCAGCCTTGCTCACATCAGTTTTTTTGCTGCTGTTTCAAAAGAAGGAAAAAAAAGCCAGTTTGTAGCACTTCCAACTCTTGACTGCAGAATGTAGTCTAGTACAGAAAGGAGGAGAACATGGGCAATGACCACCATGCCACCATTGGCTGTATTGCTCCAAAAAAGATGCTGTGTGTAGTTGTGTCAGATGCTAATTTTTCAACAGCATATTAGCCAGCTCATAAAAACGTATTGCAGGCAGACTAATGACATCCAATGATGCTACCAGATTTGGTTACAGCTAAAGCAGCAGGGGAGTTAAATTTTTTGCATGTACAGTGCTTCATATCAAAAACACTGCCTACACAATCACCAGTTCAAGTCACTGGAGTGGTCATCATATTGTTCGGAGTAACTATCTTTATTATTAGTCATTTTAAGGCAGATTGTCCGTGCCAAATTGCTATTTGAGAAGTGGCACTGGTCATATTGTGCAGTTTCCATGCTTACTAGGGGCTTTGGACTAAAATTAAATAGTATGGCCAGAAACTGTGTGCTTCCAATGTTTCCCTGTGAGAAGCATTGGATTGGCAGAGTGCAGTGATTGATGTATATTCTCATTACTCCTCTGAGAAGTACAAGTTATTTAGGGTTTAGATTACCTTTCATCATCAATTAACTTAATACTCTGATATAGACCAAAGGATTTGGGGATCACTGGTTGGATAGAGATGAGAGAGAAAGATCTATATATATTTTAAAGTAATTCACACTAGCAATGAGATCTACTGGAAACAAGGACTCATTCAGCTCAGTGTAGTTTAAAATTACTTGACAACATGAACCATCGAGTATTATAAGAATCTATTTTACATACAAATAAGTCGATGCCTAGATAAAAACGGGAATTTGTTACCTCTGTGGTTTCTTCCATAGATTCCTCATCACACGTCTTCTTATGGACGGCCTTTTCACTAGAATCCTTCTTTCTCTGAAAGAAAATAGAGCAAACACTTAACATTTACTTTGCGAGTAAATGCCGCAGATTTACTTTTCTGGTATTAGTCTTGTGTGCACTTACCTTTTTCACTACAGGAGGACTTGCACTGTCGCTGTCTGTTTCAGCTACATGTTTCTTCTACAGAAAAAAAAAAAAAGAGTAGCAGACAAGAGTTAAGGGTTATCTAGACTATTCTATTCCAGTCACAAAGAGGAGGGGTGGTGAGGGGAGAATAGATAACTTGGTAAAGAGAGCAAGCTAAACAGATACATTATACGACTCCAGTGAGTGACATACACCATATCTTTAAAGTTTAGGTTGCAGAACATAAGCTAAAAATAAAAATTTAAAAACACAGCTTAGAGTACCAGACTACCAAGTCAAGCTCTCCAAAGACTTTTAGCATGCATGTTTCACTTTCCAGCTTACCTTTTTTTTGCTAGATTCTGCAGGTGTTTCTGTATCAGGGTCACTCTGTTTTCTCTAAAAAAATAAAAATAAAGTTTGTCCATATTTAATGGCCTCCTTGCCAGAAGAGAGACATTACCTCCTCCCCAAACACAGTAGACATACTAGGCAGGATAGTGTAACAATGGGAGTTAATTTTATGTAAAAACCTACTATAGATCCAACTGTACTTGAAACACTATCCTCCAAGCACAGAACACCAGAGCTGCTCTACATAGATCGGGCGTGTGATTCTAGATTTCCACTTTAAAAAAAGGTCAAATCACATTTTCAAGGTTTAGAAAATTGGTCTCAAACACATGTGCTAGGTCAGGGGAGCCTGAAAGGTAGCGCTCCAGAAGTTTTAAAACTACAGCTTCCATTAAGCTTTGTCATTCTAAAGGCATGCAAAGTATCATGGGAGTTGTAGTTTAACATCTGGAGATCTAACTTTTGTGAAAGCCTGTGCTAGGCCCTTTGGGTTTTCATACACTGACACCTGTTTGGGGAGTTTGCTTTTTAAAACAGACAGACCTAGCATTCGTGGGAGCTTAAAGCCAAAGAGGACTTTATGGCTGAGTTGAACTGCATGTACAGAAGAGTGAATACAGAGAGACATTGGTGATTGTTTTTTGAGAGAGAGTTACTATACCTTAGCCGAATCCTCTTCAGGCAAAACTTTCTTTGGAGCACTAAAGTGGGGAGGGAGGAGGAGAGAGAAAAGTCAGACTCAAATTCTTTAATTCACTCCATCCAGGCACATGTGACCAACTGAAAAGCCATAATACCTGTAGTCTACATAGGCCTGGTTCCAGCTCACTGGTGTCTTCTCATTTGGTTTACCATGCTTGTCAAGGAGCCCTTTCTGAATCATCATCTTTTTTTGACTTGCCTTGAGTAGGGAGGGAGAAAAAAAAAAAAAAAAAAGTCAGTCTTTGCTTGAAAAAAAAAAACCCCCAAACTTTGATTCTCCCCCATTTTACGAAGTTGCATAAACCATCAGTTACTGGGTGATAGATATAAGGTCAGCATCACACAGAGTGCTCATGACATCTAAGGTACATCATATGGCTCAGGAATACACATGTACTCCATTACTCCTCTACGAACTAAACTTTTGCTTCAGGAAATAGATTTACTCACCTTAGGTCCAAGCCCCCATTTACGTGGGTAGGTGTCCCTTTCCATAATAACGCGCTTTATTTTTGCCACTATGCCATGGTCACATGTTGAGATCACAGCTGTGGTCATTAGAGCAGTAGCTGCATTGGAAACAAACAAGAATCAACACCACCGCCCAATCATAGCTAGAATTTAAACTTTGATCAGACCGTTTATTCCTCCTTTACCCAAAGCAAAACCAAGCTCATGCTCTTCCCTTCTCTGTGCAAAATTGACATTGTAGAACACAAGACAGTTGCACAGAGTGAAACACCAGCCTACAGAAGAACAGAGCTACAGTAAACTGCTCCAGGCTCAGAGAATGGATAAACTTTGTCATCATCTCACATGTTCATCAAATGATACACAGAACGGGTCCTCACCAATGCAAATTGCTTCTCCTTTTGTGGTTACCACCACAATATCCTGGTTGAGTTCAATACCATCTTCATACCGCAGTAGACCTGGCAGCATTATCTTTGCTCCATAACATATGGCATTGACCTATTAAAGAACAAATTTGTAAAAACTTATTTTAAAATGAATACTACTAGGTAGAGGACTATTTAACTGAAAGTAGCTGAAACAGCAAGTCTGCAGTTACAACATTAACAAATCAAGCATTACTTACGGCACTGTCCTTCATGACCAATCTCTTGTGAGACACTAGAAGTTTCTCCAAAGGATAGATTACTCTGCGTAGATAATTTTCATCCTTATTATTATCAAACTGCCACTGAGCATCCAGGACATCATGCATGGTGACAAGATTATCCTGAGGGACAACACAAAGTGAGTCATTGAAGCACACCCTTCAGTAAGAGTGACTTAAATGTTGGCTACAGGTCAGTCATGTTGATTATTCCTGCAAGCTCATTAGTGTCCCAAAAGCTAATTAACAGCAAGTGGGAAAAACCACAGGCTGAACTCAACGCATTTGGGTTCTAGAGAAGAAGTGAAGATTGTTACCTTCTCTCCCAGTACCCCTGATCGAACTCTACGCAACTCCTGCATCTGACCTCCAACACCAAGCAACAATCCAAGATGAACACACAAGGTACGGATGTATGTGCCAGCTTCACAGCTCACCCAGAAAATACCTGTAAAATCAAGAGTAGGGTTTGTTAAATAGTCATGCACATTGAGGTGACTTAGCAGCTGGATGTTTTATTTCTACAAATTTAGAACCCTAGTCTGGCATCTCTGGATTTGTAGTAATTATGAGGACATTGTGCAGAATACAGGAGGTAAGTGATGGAATTTAAAAACCTATTGAGAACTTGCATTCACAGTGAAGGTTTTGTGCAGTCTACTGTAGCTGTTATGGTGTAGGGAATACCATGGCTTGGATAACTCCCTGCCATTAGATCCAGAGGCACCTGCAAGGAGCTTCAGTTGAATCCGCTGACCTAAGTACTTCACTGTAAGGTCGGAACATTGGCAGAGTGTCAAATGAACAAGCTCAGCCATCATTTACTGCCAGACTTCGCTTGAAACAGGAATTTCCAGACTCAGAGGTACAGTGGACCCCACGTAAGTTGTCAAACCATATTCTGAAGCATTATTTGTAGGACAGAACCCAGGAAGACCCTCTAATGCAGGAGTAGGCAACCATCAGCTCTCTGGGTGTTGTCAATTACGTCTTCGATAATGCTGACAAAGCATCAAGGGAGATGTGGTCCATAACAACTGGAGTGCCAAAGATTGTCTACACCTGCTCTAGTGACGGTCAAACAGGTGTGGCTTTAGTCAGTAGACACTGCTTTTATTCAGATAAGGCAGTGTTTACACTGCTCAGTCTGCAGAGTAGTGCTCTTTGCGCCAGAACTATAAAATAAGTTGTAGCGGTTCTGGAGCCTATAGTGTCCATTTGTTATTATTAAAGTATGAAAAAAAAACACACATTAAATTTGTTAACTTTAGCTTAATGAAACAGTTTTGGTGTACAGATCATGTCCCTGCAGTCTCAACTATTCAATATGTTGCGGTTTAGTAAAACTTTTTTTTACCTTACAATGATACATATTGGAGGATTATACAATTTCTGTTCAAGTACTTAAACGTGGGTTGTTACCATGAAACCCAGCATCACTTTTCTGTATACTATACATAACCCTATTGTGCTATAACAACTGGACTACTTCCAAGGAGTGCGTGTTTTAACTCCTAAACAGCATGGAATTGAGCAACAAGACAGCAGTTATTTTTTGTGCTTAAGAGTATTCTTCGAAATCTTAACGCTACACTTTGAGATATTCTCCAAAAACCATGATTGCATTTAGAAGTCACTGCTGATGCATACATTCTGTTAGACATCTCTGAAGAAGCAAACATAAGTTAGATATTTGGTTATCCACACATCTGTGGCAGCCTAGTATGAAAAATTGTTATGCTCACCAAGCCTGCGTTCAGGATCATACTCTATTAATTTACTTTCATAGATGGTTCTTACACGTAGCTGCCTCTTGACTGCTGCAATAAGAGGAGGTCGCTGGAACAAGGCACCTGTTAAAGTCTCCAGAGCCTGAAAATAATTTTTGAAAGGTTACATGAGAATGCCTTTCTACAATGAAATAGATCATGAATCATCAGTCCATTATGGTCAGAGATTGTTAATCATCTTTCCCACTGGCCACATTCCCTATTTGACAGACCTCACCTCTGGTCATACTGCAAGACACATTATGAACAGTGAAAGGAAAGCAATACACTCCAACAGAGTCAGAGTGCTTCAGGAATAAGCCTTAGGATCAGAGAATGGATAAACTGTGTCATCATTCCACAAGAGAAAAGTCCAAGAGAAAAGCCATGACTAAGGTGGTATCTTACCCGTGACAGCTGAAGCTCATTCTCTAATGCATTGTGCAGTCGTACAATCCCAACGTATTCTTTCCCTGAATTAGAAGATTTAGCAATGTGTGAGAATTACGTTGCATAAAAAAATAAAATAAATCAAAGTTATATTTAAAGGGTTACTCCAACACATTGTTGGAGTAACCTATTTTGTGCTACATGTGCCCTTTCCTATCATTTTCTTTAGGTCACCCTGCAATTTTTCAAAAAAATAAAAATTCTATTAAATTATAACTAATGCACCAATTAGCTTCTTCACATATAAAATCATTACTTTCAATGGTTTGGGCTCTAAAGACTAGCAGCAGACTGCATGCAAGTGGCCTGCATGATCACGAGCGGCGACGTATGCCGATTGACCGCTCATGTCGCCGCTCACCCCCAGTGTATAAATATGACAACATTCAACCACATCTATATCTCTACCTTATATAGTTCTCTCTCATTCAATTTTAAACCATCTTTATTTATCCTACCACTTAGATCTATAAACTCCATATCAATCTCTACATCTACATACCTATCTGAATCATCTTTTAGCTTGTTCTATATCAATAAATTACTTTGGTTACAGGCCCGGAGCAAATTGCACTCTGTTCAGAGCCCAGGGACACAAGTAGTGACAAGGGAGAGATGGTGGGAGGCAGACAATATAGTTTATGACACAATGGCAGGCTTGGAGATCCTGGCCAGAGACTGTGCATGCCTTAGCACACACAGTGAAAAAGTCTCTGCCTGCAATGTGTAGAATCTTCTTGCGTCTGAAGAGTGCGCAAACGACAGACATCACTTTAGGTAGTCTGGAACAGTGTTCCAAACTGCCTAAGTTGCATGTGCTTTGAGTGCAACTAGCCCGCAGGACTAGTATCAATATTTCTGTAGCAGAAACATTGCTTCTACCACCATGACCACTTCAAATCCGATTGGATTAACACCCTAAACTTACCTGCACTCTGCTGCGACTTAACAAGTCGAGTGGCGCGGTCAATGCAGACAATAAGACAGCCAGTCACTTTGGGATCCAAAGTTCCACTGTGACCAGTTTTCTCTACACGCAGTATACGTCGAATCCATGCAACAACCTCATGAGAGGAAGGGTTAGCTGGTTTATCAAGGTTAATAAACCCAGTCCTACAGAGAGAGGAGAGGAAAAAAAAAAAAAGTATAAGATTTTAGGGATATTTGGACACAAATTACAACCCACACCAACATTTTCAATCCGTGTGAAACAGTTTGACCAATTTAACACTTGTTCCTGGCTATCCACAGCCCAGCTCTACTAGAGATATGGCTAAGCCAGAGATTAAATGCTTTCTTCTACACATACCAGACATGGACATGTGATCGGTTGAAAGAGTTCAGCTGGCAGTTACACTTCTTTAGCCCACGACAAGCTCCCATGTTTGGCTTCCAATATTCTTTTTGTAAAACTTGGGATTCATGGCTTAAATAAAACCTGGGTCACTAGGGATGTTTCCTATTTCCCCTCGCCTCTTCTCTTTTGGTTATTTTCATGTAAAATTTAATTCAAGTCTGCACTGGCAAGTCACATAGTGACCTTATATATTCAAAGAGATACTACAGTCACCAAAACAACTTTAGCTTACTGAAGCAGTACTGGTGTATAGATGATTCCTCTGCAATTTCACTGCTCTGCCATTTAGGAGTTAAATCACTTTGCTTATGCAGCCCTAATCACACCTTTCCTAAACACTTCATGTAAAGTAAAATCTATTCTTAATATTTCCTTTATTACAAATTGTTAAATTTAGAATTTCCTGCTCTGTTCATAGCTTACTAAACCTTGCATGGGCTTCCTCTATGGCTAAAGTTTAATTTACAGAACATATAAACATGGTGCCTATTCAAAAGAAAACATCACATACTTAACATATTCAGCAATGTCTCTCTTCAAAGGATTGGAACCAGAAGGTATAGGAGTATAGTGAGCTGTCCGAACATTCAGTTTGTCAAAGTTCTAAAGAAGAAGAGGAAGAGAAAAAAATAAAAATAAAATTTTTTTATAAAATGTTATAGTAAGTTTTGTCTGCATAACAATGTTGTGTTCTTAAAGGACCACTATAGTGCCAGAAAAACCCCCACCCGCCTGGCTCTGGAAGGGAGAAAGGGGTTTAAACTTACCTTTTTCCAGCGCTGGGTGGGGTGCTCTCCTCCTACGATCCTCCTCTCCGTCGGCTGAAGCCGCGCGCGCAGCCGGTCACATAGGAAAGCATTCATAATGCTTTCCTATGGACACTTGCGTGCTCTCACTGTGAGAAGCACGCAAGCGCCTCTAGTGGCTGTCAATGAGACAGCCACTAGAGGATTAGGGGGAAGGCTTAACCCATTCATAAACATAGCAGTTTCTCTGAAACTGCAATGTTTATGAAAAAAATGGGTTAACCCTAGATGGACCAGGCACCCAGACCACCTCATTAAGCTGAAGTGGTCTGGGTGCCTAGAGTGGTCCTTTAATTGGACACTATAGCCACCAAAACAACTAACTTAATGAAGCAGCGTTGGTGTATAGATCGTTTTCCCCATAGTCTCACTGCTTGAGTCTCTGCCATTTAGGAGTTAATCACTTTGTTTATGCAGCTCTAGTCACACCTCCCTGCATGTGACTTACACCGCCTTCCAAACACTTCCTGTATTGAAAATGCTGTTTAATTTAGAAATTCTTATCCCCTGCTCTGTAAATAGCTTACTACACCCTGTATGAGCCTGCTATATGTAATTAAAAAGTTCAAATTATAAAGCAGGAGATAATTTGTAAAGTAAGTTACTCCTGATTAAAAGTGAAGCTATTTCTTTTCATGCAGACAGAGTCACAGCCAGGGAAGGTGTGGCTAGGGCTGCATAAACAAACGTGATTTAACTCAAATGGCAGAGATTTAAGCAGTGAGACTGCAGGGGGCATGATCCATATATCAAAACGGTATCATTAGGCTAAAGTTGTTTAGGGTCTACAGTATCCCTTGGGTGTAAAACCTGACACACACAGCACTTCTACAAGCTGAAGGCTTTATGTTTGGAGTTCCTTTAACTTAACAGAGGCAAATTTAATTCTTGTGAGAATAATGTATATTTACATAAAATTGAGTGAACTTATTGTGGCATGGTGCCAGGAGACACCTGGCACCATAAATACAGTTCAAGTTTTCCCTCTTTGAAATAGCACAATTTAAAGAATTTTCAGATTAAATGTCACAAGAGTCCCTATAAGAAAAAAAAAACAAACAAACAAAAAAAACACTACAAACCTTGAGCAGTAAAGGCCACTGAGACGTATCTAGCTGAGCCACTTTTGATTCCGGTTGAATAAGAAAGTCACTTTCATGCTGAATATCCTATAAAAAAAAAAACAAAAAAAAGCGCAAGACAGTCAAGAAAAGGCATTATATTGAAAGCAACAGTTAAAGACTATATAGTCACCAAAACAACTACAGCTTATTGCATTTGTTCTGGTGAGTAGAATCATTCCCTTCAGGCTTTTTGGTGTTAACACGGTTTACAGAGAAAATGCAGTGTTTATATTACAGCCTAGTGGTAACTTCACCGGCCACTCCTCAGACGGCTGCTAGAGGCACTTCCTGGGGCAGTGCTGCACACTGTGCAGTACGGCCATTCAGTGTCTCCACCCTCTGCATGCAGACACCGAACATTCCTCAGATGCATTAATTCAATTCATCTCTATGAGGAGATGCTGATTGGCCAGGGCTGTGTTTGGCTTGTGCAGGCTCTCCCTTTATCTGCCTCCTTGACAGTCTCATCCAATCCTATGGGGAAGCACGGTGATTGGCTCAGACCACCACTTCGGAGAGGTCAGCGGTTCACAGGCAAATATGGGCACAGACTTGAATACAAGATTTTACTATATTTAGGGAGGCAAGAGGAGGCCAGATGGTGGTTTTAACACTACAGGGTCAGGAATACATATTTGTTTCTGACACTTCTGGTGCTAGTTTAAGAAGTGATCTCAAATTGTTGGGTAAGCACATTAGGCCCTCCCTATAGGAATTGACTCACTGCTTTCCAATGGGGATTTTGCAGACACTGGATGTCCTCATTCACAGCGGGAGGACATCCAGCTTCATTTAGGTGACCAAGAGTCATGTAAACTCCCAGAAGCAACTCTAGTGGCTGTCTGGTAGTCAGGCTTATGTGGGTGTTCTACCCTCCAATAAATACACCTTCAACACTTGGGAGTGTTGCCTGTATTTCCTATTACCTTGTATAGTTGGCTGGATTAGCAGTGTCTGTCTAATGTAGAGCACCTCAAGCTGTGGGCCTGAGCAAAACGTGGAACCCGAGTGCAGGGGATTTTGCTGTCTGTAGCCACTATAGCTTGTCTTAGTACTGCAAAGTAAACATTGCAGGACTAGGTGGGACAGTGAAACTGTACCCAGACTACTTCTATGAGTTGAAATGGTCTGGGTGCCCACAGAATCCCTCTAACAGGACCACTACATGCAACAAACCTCATTATAATGAATTTATGGTATGGGGGTCCCAGGCACCAGTTACTTTAAGAGGTTAATGGGCAGTTTAACAACAAAGTCTTCAATCTGGCACCCGATCACTCAGAGGCTTCCTGATTAGCTAACAGTCTAGTAGTATCTCCTCAAAATCAGAAGAAAGTTGTTCAGATTTTTTTTACTCCATTTTGTGAACGGGGAACCTACTGTAACTCCAGGTACGCATGTGCGTTATAACTTTAAAGTAAAAAAAAAAAAAAAAGACAGCAAGAGGATAGTTGCATATAACAAAACTCTGCAGCTTTAGGAATACAAACATGTACACCTAATGTTAGTGTCCAACTATTTAGAGGGGTGCCCCCAACACCATGCTGGTCCCACCTCCCTTGCTGAGATAACCATCCTAAACTGATCTCAACCAATCTAATGCTTCTCAATAGGGAATCTTAACATTGCTGGAACTAATAGACAGCAATATTTTAGGCTGTAGCATTAAAGTAAAGAGGCACTGGACCCAGACCACTGATTTGAGATAAGCGTGCCTTCAGAGACCCTGTAATAGGATTTGTTCATGCAACACAAAGTTTAGTGACTTAAAACCAAAATGCAATTAGGTCAGGCAAAAATCGCCAACCTGTTAAAACAGCTGCAGACATCCAATTTAATTATTTTAATCCCCCCTTTAAAGTATAAAATATGGGTGTTCTCACTGTTCCGTGATTAAATGGGAGTCTACATTTAGAACGTACATTTAAAACATTAAAAAAAATAAACTCTTACTGCAACATCAGCTTCCCCGAGGATTTGGCTTCTGCGTTTCTTATGTTTCTTCTTAGAACCTGGAAATAAAAAAAAAAAAGTTTTGAGAATTGTCGTTGCGGTAAGATTAAACCGTCTAAAATCATATTCTTCGTGCAAACATTTGATAAAAAAATTACAGAACGTTGAGTTCGAAGCATAGAATCACGAGACTCACCTACTTCCTCCGCCATGTTCACTCTCCACGCGGTCACTGAGAACGAGCAATTTCCTTGCTAACTGATATACAATGTGGGCGGATTCTCAGGGAGAAAGCTTGCCCTTTCCGTCTGCATCGTGACGTGTATTGAAAAGGCGGGCAGAGTAGTGATCTGGTTTCAAATGACGATAGGACGCGTTACTGTCAGCCATTTTACCTACATATTCTTTACCTTGTTAGGAATGCACAATGTGGTCTGGGTGCAAAGTGGTCTTTTCAAACACAAGTTAAAGGGTATCTCTAACCACCATGACCTGTTATGCTTTTGGAAGTGGTCATGGTGGTAGGAATATGTATGTGCCTCGTTTCTGCTTGGAACTATGCATATACTGTACAGTTATATTTGCATTCTTGTGCCGATGCTTGTTGCGCCTCATGTCATTTGAATTAGGCAATCTGAAACTCTATTTGGGACTACCTAAAATCAATTCTGTGCAAAAATAGATCACGCGCATGTGCTCGGAGGGAAACATTCTCTATGGGAAGCACTCACTTAGTGTGATGGGAGGAAGCTAATCATGGTTTGCACCTGGCAGAGGTGCTAACCATAGGCTTCTGAGCTCTCTCTGTCCTTGAGTTGGACCCTTAGACCACCCTGGCCCCCACTCATGATGATGCGACTGTTTTATGGGCATCCTGAGAGACCGGGGGCCATTTGTCTCTCTTCCCCTGGCCCAAGGGTGGACCCTTGTGTGGGTTCCTGGGCACCCAAATACAAATCCCTATGTGATGGGCACCAGTTATTGGATGAGAGTTGCAGCTGAGCACTCTTAACCTATCACAGCCATCCATTGCTGATATAAATTAATATTACCTCCAGCAGGGGCCCTAATTTAGTATTAAAGATGTAACGGGTTTTACACTGATTGGTAGGATGGCACCAGGGAAATCTAGACATCACAACCACTGCAATAAGATTAAATTATTATATAGCCTAGAGTGGTGATTGTGAATTATTTTGATCCCAAGTGCTCAAGGTGCCAAAAAAAAACACTTTAGGCTTGTTTGAGCAGGACCATCTTCATCTCTTAAAGGACCACTATAGTGCCAGGAAAACATACTCGTTTTCCTGGCACTATAGTGCCCTGAGAGTGCCTCCACCCTCAGGGACCCCCTCCCGCCGGGCTGGATGGCGAGGAAAGAGTTAAAGCTTACCTTTTCTCCAGCGCTGGGCGGGGAGCTCTCCTCCCCTTCGGCTGAATGCGCATGCGCGTCAGGAGCTGCGCGCGCATTCAGCCGGTCTCATAGGAAAGCATTTACAATGCTTTCCTATGGCCGCTTGCGTGTTCTCACTGTGATTTTCACAGTGAGAAGCACGCAAGCGCCTCTAGCGGCTGTCAATGAGACAGCCACTAGAGGATTTGGAGGCTGGATTAACCCATTTATAAACATAGCAGTTTCTCTGACAGATTCAGGGACTTCAGGATAATTCACCAAAGTGAGAATTCAATGTAAGTTCAAATATACACAATATGAACAAAAGTATGGGAACACCTGATCAACTGGGATATTTATGAATTTAGTACACCAATATTTACATTGAAGTCCGCACACCATAGTGTTTTAGACCAAACCTGGTGTTTGATGGAATATCTGCCCCTGTCCAAATATTTAAAGTGAAATGATGCGTGCACGCTGAAGAAATCACACTGACAACAAAGTTCAGTTAAAATTAAAACTTCAAAGTATATTGTCAGGGGGCGGCGTAGCCCCTTAAAAAAGCAAAATAATGCAATGTGTGCAAATACAGAAAGTAAACTTTTCAATTGGTTGTGTTGGGTGTTTTAGTAAAGTAAACATTTAATTGGTTAGATGTTAAGTGTTTTATCTTGTTTGACTTCCTCCAGGGTGTTGATGTCATCGTCATCTTAGGTGTAGCTCCGGATGGAGACGCCATCTTACTACAGGAGGGTCTTGGTCGATGGAAGGGGGTGCTCTAGCAGCCATTTTGAGTAATGAATGAGCACAGGTACACATAGTAAATAGACTACACATTAATTTCTATCCATCACAGTCCCCCTTTAAAATGACTATATACATCTTCTAGCAGCTACGTCTGTTCCTAATGGCCTAACTCATCTGTCCCAGAGGCCTCAGAACTCTTTTCTTGCTGCGCATAAGACGAGTGGGGGCTTGTCCACCACCCCCCTCGGTACAGACTGTGCACAGAGGGAAGTCAGATGCTGTCCATGCTATCCCTAAAATACTGTAGTCTTGCAGGTCCTAATCTTCATATTCCCAGATATCCAGTATATATCACCCAGGGATCGAATCTGGTTATATAGCAATATCTGCCAGTGAAATTTCCCAGAAACCTGCCTTTCCCTTCGTATATACCGTAGCATGTATAGTTCCCTGGATACATGGTGATACCCTCATCTGGTTTGGGGGTCTTGGTTAGAATCGGATATTCCTTTTTCCATGATTCACACGCTGATTGGTCCCAGTGTTAGTGAAGAGGCTCAGGAAACACACTTCTACGTCAGGGGGTAGGGTTAGGTCTACGGTACCTAGGTGGGGTCTGGCTCCTCCACATACATAGAAGTTAGTTTTAATATGTTTGTTAGCATTATATCTCATCCATTCCAACCATAGGTTAGTATCAGAGAACCCAGTTTCTGTAGCCATTGTATCTTCAAATGTGGGGTTTGCTATGGCAATCATGTCCTTGAAGGTCAGGATGTGGGGTCTAAGTGGGTTAGTGATTACATGTTGGGAGGCTACCCACTCAGGTGATTGGTACATGTCTTGGAGGTAGAAGCTTCCCTGTTTATTGTAGGAACCCCCCCCTTTCCAATACATCCCAAGTATATATCGGCCAGCATCGCCGGGACTAGGATTCTCTATGTTCAGGGTGAGTTTCATGGGGCTCCCAACCTGGTTTGCATAGAGTAATTCGGTTTAGTAAGGACTCCCCATTTTTATCTTTTCTATTCAAGACACTCTGTGGCTTAAAGCCCCAATCTGGCCCTGCATTCCAACCCACCACCCTCCAGTAACCACAGTCTTGTGCCCAGTAATTGTCTGTAACACGTATGTATGGGTCTTTAATGCAGGGCATATCCTTATACAATGCTGGCATCATTGAGTGTGGGAATGGACAACTGACAATCTCGCAATAGTCAAATGCAAAGGTAGCCACACGTGTGTTAGATGAGTTGTACCAGAATGTGACTGCACTATTATCTTTAGTAATAGCTACTTGTTGGGCCCCTGTCAGGCCTAGCAGTGAAAGGACAAGCAGGACAATCATGGCTTAGGACAGTCCACCTCCTCTGGAGCCAGAACCTTTTTGCAGTGGAAAGCGTGTATCCAGATGCTTTTTCGGGCCAATTTAACAGAAGTGGCTGTGACTAGGAGGACTTGGAAAGGACCATCATATCTTGAATCAAGAGAGTGTTTTCTCAGGAATTTCTTAACCAGGACCCAAACACCAGGAAGCAATCGATGGGTACCGGAGTCAGACTCGGGATCTGGAATGGAAGAAAACACCTGTGCATGGATTTTGGTCAACGCACGAGAGAGAGCAGTCACATAGTCAACCAATACATCAGAATGAAGCTGAAGTTGTTGGGGAAAATAGCATCCGAGTCTGGGTGCTGACCCGAACAGGATCTCATACGGAGACAAGGCAAATCTCCCTTTTGGTGTGTATCTTACACTGAACAGGGCAATGGGGAGGCTCTCTGGCCATGACAGGTTAGTTTCTTGGGCCATTTTTAACATTCTAGCTTGTAGGGTGCCATTCATGCACTCTACCTTGCCACTACTCTGAGGGTGATAGGGTGTGTGGAATGCAAGGGTCACCCCCAGTGCTGCCCAGATTTATTTGATTACTGATGCAGTGAAGGCTAGTCCCTGATCACTTTCTATTACCTCGGGGACCCCATATCTGCATATTACTTCGGTGCGCAGGCATTTGGCTGTAGTCTTGGCTGTCATATTGGTGACTGGGTAGGCCTCTGGCCATCCTGAGAACATGTCCACTATGACTAGTGCATTTTCAAACCGGCCACTCTTTGGCATTTGAATTTGGTCCACTCTTTGGAAAGGATAGTGGGGTTGACCTGTGGATGTCTTTTGGTGGAATACAAATTTGGAGGTGAACAGAAGGATTGTTTGGCCCCCCATTATACCTGGGGAGGCACCTTAAGAGCGTTTATATCTACTCTTATCTAGTGAGTGCAACCGATAACTGCGCACAGAATATTGTATTTTGTAACAATATTACACTATGTTTTGTTTTATGTTCTCTCTGTAGATTTACACAGCTATTCCCAAATTGCTTTTGTTGTGGTTTCCTATGGTTGAAGGGAGTGAGGATGCTTGGAGTACTGCATCCATTGTGGTGACTGCAAATCCAGTATGGTATCTGCCTTGTTCATCAGCATATCTGGAGCCATTTACAAACATGGTGAGGTCAGGTTCCTGTAAGGCATCTTCATGTACAGTTGGGTGGTGTGTTGTCTCCATCTTCATCTGTTCAAAGCAATCACAGGGTGCGTCCAGATCTTGGTCTGTAGGACGAGTTTCGGTGCATATCTCTGTGTGGAATTGGGGAAAGCCAATTGCCCTGCAATTCAGTGTTTGCTTGGTGACACCCTCTTCAGCGAGCTGGGTCTGATCTTCAGTGTTCCATGATTTGGCCAATGGGCCAAATTCCTTCCATGAGGCCTGAGGGGACTTGGTTAAAGAGATGTGTGGGACAGCTGAGTCCCAGTGATGGTATAGGTGAGTTACGTCTGAGGGCAGGAGGACTAGGGCCATGCTGTTGCCTTTAGAATCGCAGAACAAGTCTGTTATGGTGAGTTTCACCTCCACCAATTGGAACAGGTCTTCTTCATAGTCCTGGGATATTTCTGTACCACAAGGTGCAGTGAGGGGAAGTCTGAGTATCATGTGGCATGGGGGGCATGACTTTTTTAGTCAGAAGAAACATGTCGCCTGGGTCTATGTCTAGGCTGTACCAGTAGTGGGGAATTCCCTCCCGGAAAGTGGCAGAAGAGTGGCTGGGTTAAGGGAGTAGCACCTCTGAGG